GTTCATATGAAAAATTTTAAAAATAATGAACAGGGGAAGAAAACTGATAGCGTAAATTGCTATATGTATTTCACGTATATAGTGATATGTACAGAAGTTGTATGAAAATATATGAAGATATGAGAAAATCTGGAAAAATTGGCTTTAAGTAGCCTCTTTTGTTGAATGTGTAGAGAGAGTAATATTACTTGTGTAAGTGTTGTTAGAGAGGCTTTGAGGAGAAGTCCAAATGGTCCCCTCTAATGAAGGGCTAGGACCCGAATCTAAACCGACCTAGGACCGTATATTGTATAGTAGATTATATACCGAGTATATTCCTTATCAAGTAGCCCCCAGTTCGTGCCTTGACGTCGAGCTAACAAGGAAGGGTTCGGGCTTAAAGATTCGAGTACATAGTCCATGACGAGCTCCTCGAGTCTGAGTTGAGCATAGGGGCGCGATTTACACTGGTGTCTCGTTAAAAACCTTAGACTAAGAAAATCCAATGGGAAAAAGCTTATGTAACACCCCCGATTTTACCAAAATTTAAAAACTTAAACAAGAGACATAAAGCTAAACATTAATCATTAAACAGCGGAAGCAACGTCTAAACACGGAGGTGCTATGCCACACCTATATCAAACATAGGTGCACAGGCAAACTACTAAACAAACCACAACAGCTAACGATTAAACTAACTAGGCTCACAGGCCATAAACAACTAGAAAAGCATAAGGAGCTACACTAGGCTACTACGGTCCACTAGCGCGCTCTCCAAAGCTACTCAAAACCTGTAAAGAGATAGGGATAACACCCGTCAGCGAAAGATGCTGGTAACCCACCAATACGCGTTAAGTGTGTGTGTGTGTGTGTTTGTGTGTGTGTGTGTGTGTATATATATATATATATATATATATATATATATATATATATATATATATATATATATATATACTAGTATTGTCCCGTGCGATGCACGGTTAAGTATTGAAGATTTGTTTGTAGTATTTTAATTAACCAAAATGAATTTATTTATTAGACACCCAATACATTAAAAGTATTTGATGTACAAAAAAAAAATTGTCTTTGTATATTATGTAAATAACAAAATATTACACATTATTAAACACTTCATGGCAAAATAACGTTAGTAGTTGACGTACTAACATTGTTCGAGTCACTACAAATTAGAATTCTCAATCCGTCTGGATTGCTCACTCTATAAGCGACAACGTATAATTGACTATGAACAAAATCGATTTCTTTAAAAGTAAGCTAAAGTGTGATAGTGTTAGCCCATGACAGTGGTATAAGTTTTTTATTTTGAATATTCCTAATTGTAGATGATCCATTGTTTGATGACACATGATATATGTTGCGAATTGATGAACTAATTAATATGCGTTCTACAAATGATGATATTAAAAAAAAAAAAATTAAAAACACACAGTACAAAAAAATAACATTACAAAAAAAAAAAAAAAAAAAAAAAAAAACTTTAAACCTAACCATGAGAAACTACATTCAATGGGGTAGACAGTGATGTGTGAAATACACCGTAAACATAATTTCGTGTTGTATTACAATCTGTCTATAATGGAATTTGTAAAAAAAAAAATTGGTTTGGATATTTTTTTAAATAAATTATTACTGAGATATACATACACGGGTAATGCATACTAACTTTCATCCTTCTATATAAATTATTATTAAGCTATACATACACGTGTACTGCATGCATACTACACTATCTAACAATCTTACAATTATGTTCTCAAAAAAAAAAAAAAAAAACAATCTTACAATTATATATATACACATACACACACACACATTAGAATTATCTAGAAGAGGAAGTGCTACCTAACTTTCTTAATCATCTTCCTCCCCCTCTACTGCTTGCTTTTACAGATAAGGTCGCATCTTCGGCGTTTCTCATTGCTCTCGACTTGATTAGCTTATGTATTTTAGATATATATATATATCTGTATTTTATCTAATCTCCCTGTTTATCTCATTGAGTGTAAACTCTAAAATTTGGTTTAATTTTGATATTCTTAGTGCTGAGTTTTCGAATACATTCATGTTTGATCCAGAAGCAGATCTGGAGATTTTACTGCAAAGTATCGTTGTTTCCACACTTCCAAGCAAGGATTTATATTTGTCTAATTATTGGCAAAAAGCATCGTAGGTTGATAAATTTATGATGATTGGCTAAGTTAATTAGATACTTTATAATAGGATGATACTGTTTTGCATCTGGAAAAACTTTATATGAGGATACCTATTAATTGTTGATAATATTTACTCGTCAGATGGAGTAAATCTTGGAGACACGGATAAATCGTAAGCCATTTCTTAAACCCTTTTCTTTGTTAAATTTTCTTTTTAAATGAATTATTATTTTCTTGTGTTCTCTCTGTTTGATTGATCCTGTTTTTTCAAAATTTTCCTGTGTTCTCTCTCTTTTCAAAATTTGTAGTAGTTTCAGTTTTTCTTGAAAACGGGCTCAGTACATTCTATTTTGTAGGCTCAACTAAACCCAAACCCAAAATCCGCCAGCCCAAAAGAAATTAACCCATTTGACCCCATATATAAATACATAGCACCAAACCCTTATCTCTGATTCCCGTCCTTTCGTCTTCTTCATTCTTTCTACACAATTGTTTTAGTGATTTTCACTAATTTGGTTACTTTTTTGTTCATTTGTGTTTAAAGGATCCAGTTTCGAAAGATGATAACTTTAGAAGTAACTGGCCAGGAATTCTCCATTGCACATGCTGGTGAAAGTATTTTAACGGCAAGTCACAGTCGACATTTTTTATCACCGAATCTGGTTTCTGAGTCGTTACCTCGGCTGTACACAACAAAAGTACAACACTGAAAAAACACCAATCTTCAAAAAGATAAGTATATTTCTCAATTTACTAAGTTTTTCTATTCAATCTATATGCTTGAAAATAATATGTCTTTTTTTGTACAGAGGCATATATATATATATATATATATATATATATATATATATATATATATATATATATATATATATATATCAGTTAGAGTTATTCGTGCATTATTTAAAAAATCAATACATTACAAAATCAGTTTTTGATATTTCCAATGTGTTCTTCGTTGCCATATTACATTTTCAATTTTATAATGTGTTAAATAAATTTTTAAACTCCACTTTGAAATCTGAAATATGAATGTACAGTTCACACCCACAAAATAATTAAGAAAATATAGATAAAGAATCAATACATATTCGTTTCTACAAAATACCTTGGTCCACAAAGGAATTGAAAGAGAGGCACAACTGTAGTTCTTTGAGCACACTTCACAATCTCTACATTACGTCTGCCTCTTTCCATGATTCTTCTCTTTTATTGATTCTTTTTTTTTTTTTTTTTTTCAGGCGTGACACGAATTGTTCTTCTACAGCTTCAGCTCTGAGCATCTTTTCGAATGATAACTCCGTGTGGTGGCTATCTTTCGAATTGTCCGGGCTTATTTATAGTATTATAGAAGCGATGTATATTTAATCTTGGTATTTACACTTGTAATTATGAAGTATACGAAGAGACAACTTGTTATATGCAAATATCCTCAATTATGTGTAATCAAAATAAATAAATGTTGTGGCTATGCGGATTCCCAATAATAATCAGTTCAGTTTTTTGCTTGGGCATGTGCTGGTTGGAATTGGCGGGAACTATGGCTGAAATTGGCGGGAACTATGGATTCTGCTTTATTATAATAGAAGATATATATATATATATATATATATATATATATATATATATATATATATATATATGTATATGTATATATATATATGATCAAAACCATTTGGAACTGAGGAATACAGTATATAGCATTTGAAAATCAAGAGGTGAGACAACAGTCAATCATAACACACCCTCAACAAGGATCAAGACCCACAACTCAATCAAATCAATAGAGACCACAATGACAAACGACAACCACAACTCTAGATGCAACCTACCATGCACAAGGTAGAGTTCATCATAGACATACACATAAGCAAGGAAATGCATCAATCACATAATGGCAAGACACACATTTCAAGAAGAAAGGATCACGGGGAACAAATCCCCGCAACCCCCACATATGTTCCCTGCAGGTGGGGCCACGAGTAGGCCCCCACCTGTGGGCCTGCCCGCGGGGTACACCCCACAACACCTTCGTTCCCCGCGGGTGGGGCGGCGGGTAGGCCACTGCCAGCCGTTCCGCCCGCGAGGTATATCTCCTGTACTCCAAGAATTCATTTCAGGAAAAATCATCAACAAAGCCAAGTTCAAGTCCAAAACACCCAAAACCTCACACACAACAAAGATATGACTTGAAGTCAAGAATATCTCAAAGAAAGGCATTCAAGAACCCTAAATACAAGCTCTAAACATGCATTATCACAAGATCATGCATCAAATCACTCACAACATCAAGAATCATCAAATAGAAGCCAAGAAATATCAATAGCAAGCATAAAATAGGTTTTGTAGAGCATCAGTTACCTTTGAAGACCAAAAACCACTTCCTTCTTACACTTCTATGTCTCACCTTGAAGCTCTTCCTTACCAAAGACTTCTCACCAAACCAAACCACAAGGAAAACACCAAAATAAGATAAGATACACTAGTACAAAACTGCACATACGCAACTATTGTAAAAGACATTAGGCAACCATTGTACAATGGTTGCCTATGAGAGGCTCGCAGAAAAACATTGACTTTACGCGATTGTGAAATGCGCATTGTTGGTAATACGCGACCATTCTTGACCAAGAATGGTCACGTATTGTTTTATTATTTTTTTATTCAAATGTAATACGCGACCATTCTTGACCAAGGATGGTCGCGTATTATTATTTTTTTTATTCAAATGTAATACGCGACCATTCTTGGATAGGAATGGTCGCCTATTGTTATTGTTTTAAAAAATAAAAAACATAATGAAATAGTTTTAATACTATATATTCATGTGCAATTCCCACACAACCATTATGAAGTTACTATAGTATTTGTAAAAACAATAAATTAAATTACAAATTTATAATTCTAAATTAAAAATTAGGTTCTTACACATCCATGCCAATTGCCTTAACAACATCATACATAGAGCAACTCTGTATAAGGTATCCACAGACTTTCAGACAAAGCGAACTCTTCCTCAATCAGCTTCACCTGCATACATGCACATGTAAGAGAATGAGCTATGGAAACTTTCCAAATCATATAAACCTCTCCTAATATTATCATATTATGTCTATGATTTAGCAGAGCCAGAGTGTATTGCGGATGAGAAATTAAATTAAATTAAAGAGCTAGAGAAAAAACGAGTTTTAGAAAACAAATTTATAGCATAATCTCACCACCCTCATCATCCTTGTGAATTAACCATGTCATTCCAAACAACAAACATCTGGAAGGCTTTTGTGGGCATATAGACCACATTAGAGGAAAAAAAAAAAAAAAAAAAAAAAAAAAAAAACCAACACTCTATGCAAGTGAATGAATTGAAGAGGACCAAAACTAAAAACACAAACCCACATTGAGCTTCAGAAGTGGAAGCTCCACACCCCACCAATAGTTTTTTGGCTTGGAGGATATCAGCACATCGATCATTATACATTAGGCTTGTTATCTGCAAAGTAGAAGCCTCTAGCTTCACTGTTAGAACCCAAAAAAATAAAACTCAGAATCAGCAAATTATCAAGATTATAAAACAAATTAAAAAAGAACTCCTCAAACCAAGAAAATAGAGACAAGTCCAGAGTATAAATTAGAGTAATGTGGAATGAGAGTAATTCACATGCAAGTTAATCTTCCTATGGTCATTAGCAAAGACCTTCACCAATTCACCCTGGAAAAGAAGAGTAATGAAGGCATGTTAATAACTTTCAAGAAGGCTTCACTTTTGAAAGTACTGCTCTTGTTTCTTTTCTTCTGGAAAAAGAAAAGTGGAAGGATACTTCACTAAAAGATGCAAACAATAATCTCATAAATTTAAATACACACCACATTTATCTTTTACAACAACAGCCAGAAGAACAGAAAAAAAAAGAATGAAAATTACCTTGCGCTTCCTATTATCCGGTGGCTGAACTTCAATGGCAAGATATGTATCAACATCATCAGCAGTAACAAGATACGTGGGTTGCTTTGCACCTGCCACCAATGTCATATGACTCCAAGTGTTCAAATATATTTATTTATGTGTGTGTGTGTGTACACGCATATGTGATTAGATGAAGAGAGAGAGATTTGTAAGAGTAATACCAAGAATATAGTTAAAAGATCCATCTTCCATATGCTGTACCCACTGTAAGCTCAAAAATGAGACAAGAAACATGAGAATGAATTCTGACAGATATCTGTAACAGCATGAAGCATTCTAAGGTAACAAAAATAAAACAGACATCAACAATCAAAAAGAAACAACAGAGCAGAATTCAAGCCCTGAGGTAAGCCACACCTCAAAATTGCAACTGGTTGTGCCATTAATAGAGTACCCAGAAGCCTTAAGTTCCTGTCCGGGAAATGCTTCACCTGAAATTTGAAGACCCTCAACTGCATGTAAAGGTTCATCATCTGCAACTTAGCATTGCCTCGAGATTAGTGCACATCAAGCAGCAAGATCCTAAATACACACAGTAACAATAAAACACAAAGAATTTTCACCTTCTGAGAAAGAGGATGCAGGTTCCTCCATAACAGGGGGTAAATATGGGGAGTGAGGGTTCAGATCCTCAAGGGGGTTTGTATAAGGAGAGCTTTTAGAGTGCCAACTGACTGAAGGCTCTCTACCATTTTGGTGTCTCTCCATATCATAATCATCCATCTCATTATTGCTGATATGATCCCTAAATTTTACTTGTTTATTTGGTATTTCTTCACTTCTTGATTTGGAAAGAGAATCATCCTGGCTTACTGCATGCTGAGCAGATAAATCTTGTGATATGGTATTCCTACAAAACAACATATATTCAGCATAAATTAATCAAACTTGAGGAGCGGAATCATGAAAGAGAAAATCAATCATATATTGAAAACCTGCATATCATATTATCATGCAGGCCATCGAGGAAGTAAAGACGAGAAAAAGGAATCAGGTATATCCTCTATTTAGTTTAGTATAAGCTTAGAGGTGCAGAACAAGATAAGATAAATTAAGGGTTCTAAACAAACCAGAATGCCAAACAAATGATGAGACAACTACAAAAGAAAAGAAGAGAGAGAGAGAGAGAGAGAGAGAAGAAGAAGAAGAAAAAAAAAAAAAAAAAAAAGACAGCCACAGCAAGAAAACATTTAACGTCCTACTTCAATCCACTAAATATTTACATGACTGCACAACATTTTCTTTAAATAGGTTTGACAACAACCATACTAATAATATTCAGTACCGAGTTTGACCTTTCCAACCACATTTCACAATCTTATTATGGTGATAAGAAGTAAGGAACTGCAAAATCTATAAAACTAACTTCCTCTGGAAACAAGATCAAGTTGAAAATCAGCTCATTGTCAAGCAGAAACTCCAGTTTGTCTGGACTGAAATCACGACACAATCTTATCTTCTCCTGACACCAATCTATTTATGTGAACTATGGGGAAAAAATAGACTAAGGCAATAGACTTTAAGCTAAAGCTGATCAAATTCCATGGTTACTTCTAGCAAGGAACAATCTAACATAAATGCATTCTCCATTATATATATATATATATATATATATATATATATATATATATATATATATATATATATATATATAATCGCACTCAGGTGCGAATGCTTCGCCCAGGCGCGAAATAGGAATGGATTCTGTCCGTCCACGTGTCCAGATCTAATGGATGAGAAACACTGATTTTTTTTAAAAACGCGGTGGCATTTTCATAAATAATTGAACATCGAAGTGCAAGTAAAATGTATTACAAGTGCATGTAAAATGTATTATCAGTGCAAGTAAAAATTTACACTGAGCATCAATACTTAGTTGCACCTATAGTTCTAAGTAGTTGCACACATAGTTATAAGTAGTTGCACCTAGGTGTATGAATGTTTGCGAGTGGTTTTCAGGGGTATTACTACCCGCTGAACTCAGATCAATGAATGTTAACAAGGCAAAATTACATGCACTTATAGGTGAAAGTAGGTGCACCTATAGTTATAAGTAGTTGCACCAATATTTATAAATAGTTGCACATATATTTATAAGCACACCCAGGTGCATGAATGTTTGCGGAAAGTGAATACTAACAAGGCAAAATTACATGCACTTATAGGTGAAAGTAGGTGCACTTGTAAGTGATTTTACTTGCACTTCGATGTTCAATTATTTACGAAAATGCCACCGTATTTTTTTTTTTAAGTTATTAGATCTGGACACGTGTCGCGCGCTGATTCGTTTGCATTTCCCTCCTGAGCACTTATTCGCACCTGAGTGCATCCCTATATATATATATATATATATATATATCAATATCTCTTATGTTATCATATTACAAGAAGAAAATATAAAAAGAAGTTATCACTACACGTAAACAATGATTCACCATCATTTCCAGTAAAAGATATTTAAGTCCTTCATCCATGAAAGCCAGAATGGCAAAGTATTATTGTCACTCATGGCAACAGAGAAAATTCAATTGCAAACAGAACCCACCACCAAAAGCAGATGGTTTGAATTGTAATTCAGTTCACAGTAGCAGTCTCCATTTGAACAGGCTCACCTGCTTGCAAGAGGTGAATATCTCCCCAACTCATCACCCGTCACATTTTTTGTTAAATCACCAGTACTATCAACCTGGGGATGTCCCAACGAATCCTAATCTCTACTTGTCTGTGGGTCTGAAAGAATAGGTGCCTTTTCATTAGTGTATCCTTGTTGTGGTACCAGTTCAAGTCCATCTCTTATCTGGCCAGGGATAGACAAATCTGTTTAGTATATCTACATCTAAACATGAATCTAAAGAATTTTGACATAAGCGTATGTCAAATATACCGCACTAAAATCAGAAGGTGACTGAGCAAAATTCGAGGAGTTAACATCAGAGGGCCAAGGGGTCATTTGGTACTGAGACTCCTTCAGCTTTGCCTATGAATCCAACAACTAAAAATTAGATACCGTCTACAAGAACCGGTGCATTAGAAATAAGTAATATCCCTAATTGGAGTTGATGACATACCTCAGTAACTAAAAGCTTCTCCTGTAGATGTCTAAAAAGAATCTGCAGCAACATTTTGTTTATATAAGGGGGAAAAGGTTATTAGTGGAAAATCAAATGCCACAAACATTGACCAAAAAGATCTTCAAGCTAGTACATGTAAACAAAATCCATCCTATCACTGACTGAAATTTGATACCATCCTATTTCAAATTTTCAATCATAGTTCAAAAGATAGGTGGTTCATGTGGACCACGAACCCCCTCCCCCTATCATGCTACTCATCAACATAGCATGTACATTGTTAAATGTAGAAAGGTAGACTGACGCAGTGTGTATTTCATATCTTGCTGTACAGGAAAGCCCTATATATATACACAAGCTAACTAAGTGCTAACCACAGAATTTGAAAAGAAGAAACACTAGGATAGGAGAGAAACTCTAAACTATCTCTAACTACCCCTTATTTCTCTAACATACATCATGCCTTCACAACAAAAATATGATGCCAGCAAAGGAATGGGAAGTCAAGATAGCAGAATTCTTTCTTCCTTAGCTCCCTCCTCTGCTAAGAAAGAGTTTTACAATCAAGATGTTACATCTTTCAAATTTAAAACTCAGCAGTTTCAAATTTAAAACTCTAACCTTATATAGAGTAAATTATGCATGGAGCTTAAAAACTCCATGAGATATTGTAAGCCAAATTACACAAACCCTAAAATATGTTAGACAAATTACAGAAAATCAAGTGGTTAAAATTTGAGAAAAACTTTCTAATTAAGATATTCATTTTATTATAATTACAAAAATATGCTAGTGCCTTTAAAAAAAAATAAAGGATAAAATTATTCGACCTCAAATCTTTGGTAAGGGGTGGGGGGTGTGCATGGAGAATTAAAGTTTACAGGACATGAAAATACCTGCAATAAATATGTAAGTTTTATATTCTCTTCAATTATGTCTTGTCTATAAGAATTGCTTTAGATGCAGCATCTACCAAATCCGGTTGCTGCTGATCAAAGGCCTATACCGAGAATTTGTAGCAAATAATCGTTGTCAGTTTAAATTAAAACAAATATAAACAGACATAGGGCGTATCCGATAAAAAGATTTGAGATATATGGAGTAGTACTTAACAAAAGAACTAGAGACATTCATCATACCATGCGCATATAAGCAATGCGCTTTTCCAGAACATATTTCTCATTGCTTATTTGTTCTTCCTGCCCAAAATAAATAAATAATTTATGTCAAAGCAATAGTTAAAATAATCATGGTGAACATTAGAAGCATAGAGTCCTTACTTTGATTGAATATTCTTCAAAGATGTTTCCTCAATTGGGAAATCTCTTGTTCATGAGCCTGGATCTTCAAAACAATATCCTATAAAGATATATTGAAAAATGAGCCAGGTAAGAGGATTATAAACATTTGGACCATAAACAAGAGATACCTGCTTTGTGGCGTCGGCGGGGGTGGCGGCTATGGCGGTGCGTCGCGGTGGGGGCGTGCGACGGTGGATGGTGCTGTTCATGTGGCGGTCCGTCGCAGTGAGTGTCGTCGCCGCAGGCCAACGGTGTGGTGGCGGTGGGTGGCCGGTCGATCGGAGCAGAGCTGAGGATGATTTCGATCGGAGCAGAGCTGAAGGTGTTGAAGGGTGCCGAGAGTAGTGTTAGAGGATTCCGATCTGATGTGTAGATCTAGTGTTAATATATTTTTTTATTATTTTTTTATTTTTTTAGATTTAATATTAGGCAACCATTTCTAATATAAATGGTTGCCTATTATAAAACAAGTTATATTTTAAGGCAATCATTTATATTAGAAATGGTTGTCTATTATAAATCAATTTTTTTTAAATAAATACAAAATACAATGGGCAACCATTACAGCTAACAATGGTGGCGGATTATTGATCATTTATTTACAAAATTGTCACCGCGAATTTTGGGTTAAGATTGGGCAACCATTCTTTCAAAAATGGTGGTTTATGGTCAATCTTCTATGTTCAATTTTGTACTAGTGATACCTTAAAGCTAGCTAAAAACACTAAGCAACTAGAGATCTCACCATTTACTAAGCTTGGAAGATAGAAAGGTGGGATCTTGGGATGAATCTTTGCAAGGTTAGGAAGATCTTCTTTTAGCTTGGAGAGTAAGTCAAGATTTCTTAGAGAGAAGGTGGAGTGTTTAGGAGATTGGCTAAAAGATGATGAATGAAATGTGTGTCTTGCTAGGGCAAGCTTAAACACCAATCATGTGTGAAAGGACAAGCTTACCCTTACTAAAAGGCTAGGAAGACAAAAGGCTATGTACAAAGCACAAAGCATAAGGTACTCATAGTTCACTAAGGAATTAGTCAACCTCTAGTCCCTTGACTATTAAATTTCAGGATTTTAGGAAAGGAATTCATCAAGGAAATTAGGATTAATTCTTCAATTAATCACAATTAAGGAGTCAGACTTTCGGGGTGTCACAACTTAACTAAGGGAAAAAGAGTACAACTGCAAGTGCAATCTTTTGAATTACCGATGGATCGAATTAATTGTGATCTAGAGATCCAATTTTGCCAATTAAAGGATTGAATTTACTCACAATCGAGGGATCGAAGTTTAGCACGGTTAAGAGATCAAATTTTATCGATCTAGGAATTGGGTTTCACCAATTGAGGGATTGGATTTTTAGTGAAATCTAGTGATCAAGTCTTACCAATTAAGAGATTGGATTTATTCACGGTCCAGGCACCTCTATTGATCTTATCAATCATAAGTAGGAACGCTTCTCCCAATGCCCTTTACTTGGGCTAATCAATCGTAGTTAGTTTGAGCTCGGTCAAACTCTGACCTAGATTACTTGGTTTCAAGATCGTTCTTAGCTGATCTTGTTTGGTTAGTTTTGATTACCACATTAATCATTATGGTGGGTTTTGAAACCCGAAATCATATGAATAGGGCATTTTTCCCTTTTCTACTCGGTTTACGAACCGAGAGTTCCAAGTGGAGGGACGTTTGGAGACCTGAAAGTATAATGATAATGAGACCAGGAAGTATGTTATGGTGCGTTACGGTCACTAAGTGTATTACGGTCGGGAAGTATACTAGTGAGCTCCGTAGGCCAATGGGGTAACCCTATACTCTACCAATAGCACCACTCCCTGTGTTGCGAGAATTGTCGGCACAAAGGGAGTAGATACGATGACCTCCTGAGCTCATTTTTAATTTTCATTGCGGTTAGTGGTGGCAATACCAACCTAACCGGGCTTAATTGCCTACTTCGTAGGGCTTATGTCGAGATATGGCCCCAGACTTATAGGGTCGGTGGTGTGAATACCAACCTAATCGGGCTTCGTGCACGACTAGTCTACATACATGATCGTGTTACAATTTACAAAGAAAATTTTAAAAATTCACAAGTTCTAAAAAATTCTGCTTCACTTGGTCGTAGCTTCGAACAAGTGGGCCCGAGCACTTGATGGAGTTTGCGGTAGAGGGTATTTCTCCTCGCCGGTCCAGAGACCGTAGTTTTTTTGACTTTTCGGTCATAGTTGAAGGCATTCCTCCTTGTTGGTCCGAAGAGTCTTTGATTTTTTATCTTCTTATTATAGAGGTCCGGAGACCTTTGTCTTTAGATCTTCTGATTGCAAACGATGATAACTTTGCCTCGCCGGTTCGAAGACCAATAATTTTCGATCTTGTGATCGTAAACGAGGATAACTTTGCCTCACTGGTTCAGAGACAATTAAATGTTCGATCTTGTGATCATAAACGAGGATAACTTTGCCTCGCCAGTCCGGAGACCAATAATTTTTCAATCTTGTGATCGTAAACGCGGATAACTTTGCCTCGTCGGTCTAGAGACCAATAAATTTTTGATCTTGTGATCGAAACGAGGGTAACTTTGCCTCGCCGGTCCAGAGACAAATAATTTTGTGATCTTGTGATCGCAAACGAGGTTAACTTTACCTCGCCGATCCGGAGACCAAAAATTTATTGATCTTGTGATCACAAACAAGGATAACTTTGCCTCGCCGGTCCAGAGACCCGTGATTTTTCGATCTTGCGATTGTAATCGACTCTTAGGTCGGGTTTCGGGCTTTGCCGGTCAAAATTGCTTACTTTGTAGGGCTTGATGCCGAGTTTTTTTCCCGAACTTAATTGCCTACTATGTAGGGCTTAATGTCGAGATTTTTTCCCGATCTTAATAATGCCGATGGTGGCAAAACCGACCTAACCGAGCTTTATGTACATGTATTACTACTACTACTACTACTACTACTACTACTACTACTACTATTCTCTAAATACAATTATAAGGTTTTTAACCTATAAAATTTACAATTCACTATTACAAAAAAATTTATGAACTCCAAAACATCTTCCTTTTGCATTTTCAAACGCTTTGCACGCATACTGCCCAGGCTGCCCAGCCACTTAGAACATCCACATTAATTTGGTTTCTTGCACAATTTTTTAGAAGCCAAATAGGAAAGAGAAAGAGAAAATGAAAAAAAAAAGGGAAAAAAGAAAAGGAAAAACAGCAATTATCAGAGCTATTCATCTCATTCTCGCCCTTTGGGGCACATAAAAACCACTTCTTGTAGGAATTAAAATTTGTTCCTCTCTCCTTCTTCTCTCACATCCACCTCACCATGAACACCACAAAAAAAAACCAACAAAAATCCACTAGTGTGGATACTCTTATCCCCCTCTCTTTCTTTATTTGCTTTTCCAAAGCCACCTTTTACTGTTTTTGTTATTACCACTTTCTTGTGATTCTCACCTTCACCGCCACATGCAGCCAATAAGAGGGAAGCTTTACACTACACTTCTCTTGCTTTTCTTACTCCACCACCCACACCCACCATTAACAAGAAAGCCACCCACCTCCACCAACCCAAAGAGATTGTAAAGAACACGCCACATCTGGGCGACGCCAGACTCGCGGAGAAATCACCTGGGTGCAGTCTTCTACCACGAACACGATGGATACAGACATGGAATGGCGTTTATACAGAGCATGCGAGCTTCACAGTTCACATGAAGAACATGGGATGTAGCTAGAAAAATTTTGTAGGGGAGACATTATGCTGCTGTGGAACCAGAAAAAATTAGTAAAAATTTGCAGGGGATTAAGCCGAAGAATAAAACGTATATGCTGTTCTCGTGAACCAATTTGCAATAGAAACATTAACAGTGACGGTGGTAGTGTCGTAAATTGCTATATGTATTTCACGTATATAGTAGTACTAGTTTTTTCTATGCGCCACGCGCAAAAACATATGCTCAATATTTATATATATTTTTAAAATAACTAACAAATCCCTACTAATTAAAATCTATATGAAATCAAATTTATTTATTATAATTGTAACACCCCTAAAATTTTAAACTTTCAAGCTTTATGAAATAAAGGTAATATTATCATTAAATCCCAAAACAGAGCATACTAATCATAAGTGTTTGGGGTGTTATGCCACATCTGAGCTGGAGAACTCAGATGCACAGGCTAAACTATCTAATTATCCTCAAACAACGTCATTACATCATTACGGCACGCGCCGAATAGGAAACTAACTATCTAAGCCTCGGGTCCTCTAGCGCGCTCCGAGGCTAATCATCTGTGCCTGAAAGCCAAATATATCTGTTCAGCGAATAATGCTGGTAACCCACTCCAACGCGTTAAAATACAATATAGGTGTATATATATATATATATATATATATATATATATATATATATGAAACCATTTTGAAGCCGAAAGATATATACTTAGGAGACTCTAGCTTTAAAATCGGGAATAGACTCAACAAGTAGGGACAAGCACATTCAACAAATATAATCATGCATATAAAGATACTAGCATATATACTAAGCTCACAAGATTATTTCACACCATTCATATCATCTCAACACATAAGCACACTTTGGTGGCGCCACAGGACCAATCGCATGCCCATACATGAGGGTCAGCGCATATAGCGCTAACACGGCCCCGCAGCACGAAGGGGTTGATCGCAACTAACCGATGAACCGCAACTCATCATAACGTTTGATCGCAACCAAATGATGGACCGCAACCCAAAAGGTGTATTTCTGACGGCAACCAGATTATGAACCACAGCTCATGTATAACGTTTGATCGCAACCAAACGGTGGACCGCAGCCCTATATAATATTTATATACCTAACCGATCGCAACTGGCCTGGTTAACAACCGATGGTTCTCAACCCATCCAACTGCCCGTATAGCCAATTTGATCGTAACCAAATTGGGGTATCATGCACACATAACACATAGCAAGCACATGCAACCCACATTAGCACATGGGGAATGGGGGAGAAAACGTATAAATAAACTTATGCGTGGTCATACACATACTAGGAATATTCCTAAGGGGTTCATACATCTTTCACCTAGGCCAACGGGATACCAATTCAACTAGCATGCAATACACAAGACTCTCTTATCCTACGAATGGTACCCGAAACATCAAACTAGACTCAGGCACGACAAACAGGGTCCGTTGGGACCCCTCGGGGGACGGGGAAACATCAAACGGGGAAAACCACCATCCCACATTGGGAATTTCCAGCGGGTGGAGGATCACTCGCCGACGGCGAACTGCTGGGCAACGGGTGCCCGACGGGCAGTCGCCTGCCC